TGCCTCCAACAACCGCACATGCAATTCCTGGGTGGAGTTGTTATAGGAGTGAAGATTGAAGGCGGAGCTGAATATGAAGTTGCCTTCTACATATCGAATGACAAAGGACAGGAGGTGTTGCTTGGAACGAACGCACTGAAAAGTTTAGGTGTACAGATCCAACTGCCTAAACCTGCCACAACCCCCACACGAAGGACAAGCCATATCGGCAAGGTTACGGTCGCAAGGAGAGCGTACATACCGCCGTACAGCTCGGCCCTGGTACAAGCCCGCTGCAATGTTGGCGAAAATCCGGTCGAACGCGTCATATGGCCAGCTTCAAACGGAATAGCTGCGGGAGTGTTTAAGATAGAAAACAATGAATGTGTGATTCCGATAATTAATGAGGGAAGCGAGCCAATGATGTTTAGAGAAGGGGAGGAGATCGGGCACTGGAGTACTGATAAATGGAGAGAAGGATGGGATGAAGTCAAACCAACGATTTTGGAAGAACGATGTTCCGGATTGGAGTTGCAAGCCAGAAAGCAGAAACTTTTCGAACAAATTTCGCAAAACAGATCTTCCACAGAGATCCCTGAGGATATCCGAAAACTGGTGGAAGAAAAAGGGGAAGCGTTTGCGGTGTGTGACCAAGAACTTTCGGCCACAAGTGAAGTCGAAATGGATGTGGACACAGGGGACCATCCACCCATAAAGTTAAAAGCTAGACCTGTACCTCTAGCAATGAGAGCTAAATTGAGGGAAATGCTGAATGATCTCGTATCTAGGAAAATAATCGAGAAAAGTGCATCGGCTTGGGCTTTCCCAATAGTTTTAGTAGAGAAGAAGGACGGCAGCTTAAGACTCTGTGTTGATTACCGCGAGCTAAACAAGTGCATTCGACAAGACGCATACCCGATGCCGACGATAGACGCGATGTTACAGAGCATGGCCGGTAAAAGGTATTTTTCGACACTGGACCTTTATAGCGGATATTGGCAGATTCCGCTTACAAAGGAGGCAAGGGAAAAAACGGCATTTGCAACGACAGAAGGCCTATTTCAGTTCAGGGTTACCCCTTTCGGGCTCAGTACTTCGCCGGCAGTATTCCAAAGAATGATGGACACTGTGCTACATGATATGTTAGGGAACGAAGTTTTCTGTTATATCGACGATATAATGATCTGTTCCAAATCGAGAGAAAGGCATCTGGAACTTTTGCGAGCAGTGCTCACAAGGTTGATAGAAGCAGGACTGCGATTAAAGGCGGAAAAGTGCGTGTTGATGGAAACTAAGGTGTCCTTCCTTGGACATATAATCGACGAAGCTGGGATCCACACGGATCCACACAAAACCGAAGCAGTGAAGAATTACCCTGTCCCCAAAAACGTGAAAGAGTTGAGAACTTTTTTAGGGATGGCAGCTTTTTATCGAAAATTCTGCTTGAACTTCGCAAAGACAGCCAGTCCACTGTTCGAATTGACTTCATCAAAACGGACATGGAATTGGACGACAGAGTGCGAAGAGGCCTTTGAAAAGGTGAAACAGTTCATCTGTTCGGCGCCGGTACTGAAGCAGCCCGATATGGAAAAGGCGAGGAATGGAGAAAAACCTTTTGTTATATGCACGGATGCATCGACAACAGGACTGGGCGCCGTTCTAGCGCAAGAAGACGAGGACAAGTACTTGCACCCTATCTACTTTGCCTCAAAGGCGCTAAGCAAAGCTGAGAAACGGTACCATGTGACCGACCTGGAAGCATTAGCCGTTATGTTTGCCATAAAACGATTTCATATGTTCATCTATGGCGTCCCCACTACCATCATGACCGACCATCAACCACTAACCGCTTTGTTTAAGAGGAGTAATGTCTCCGCACGAGTGCTTAGGTGGTCGCTCGAAGTGCAAAGGTACAAACTTGAGATTAAATACGTGAAGGGACGAGCAAACGTGGTCGCTGACGCGCTGAGTAGAGGCATACGGGTAGAAGAGAAGTCGGAGTCATTACAAGGACTGAATGAGGCGGTCGTAAATGTGTTAGCGGTGGGAAAAAAGACAAAGTGGCTCGAGGAATTGGAGAGAGATGAAGATTTTTCGCAGGTACTGGACGCGTTGAGGGAAGATGACCTGAATAGGACAGTGAGAATGCGCGGCACGAATAACTGGATACGAGTAGCAGATTTTGTTATGGAAAACGGAAATCTTAAAATGTATACTGAAGAAGGTACATTAGTATGTGTGGTTCCGAAAAGCGCAAGATACGAGGTTTTTCATGAAGCCCATGCGGGTGCAGTGGCAGGCCACTTCAGCGCATTCAAGTTGCTAAAGAAAATGCGCAAGGAAGTGTTCTGGCCAACCATGATACAGGACGTAAGTAGATGGACAAAGGAGTGTCAACGCTGCTTCGTCCATAACCCGAGACCAGTAGGAATTCCGCCATTGAAGCCGATAGTGACCACGAAGCCGTACGAGTTGATAGGCGTAGATGTGCTAGAACTAGGACTAACCTCAAGTGGAAATAAATACGCGGTCACAGTAATTGACCATTTCTCAAAATTCGCACAGGCATACCCAACAGCTGACAAATCAGCCGAAACGGTAGCGAGTGTAATTTTTGAGCGTTGGATAGTTGATGGCTGCAGATGGCCCAAAGCAATACTATCCGATAAAGGAGGCGAGTTTGAAAACAGGGTGATGTCAGAGTTGATGAAAATTACCAAAATTCAGCATGTGATGACGAAAGGCTATAATCCACGCGAGAATGGTATTACTGAAAGATTGAATGGGACTATAGTCGCAATGTTGAGGAGGTCGACAACGGTACCAACAGAGTGGGACAAGAGGCTACCCTTTTGTATGCTTGCATACAATATGACCCCTCATAGATCCACAGGGGAAAGCCCATATTTTTATTGCATGGGATGGACCCTTACTTCCCATCAGGAACTATACCGAATAATGAGATATCATGGTACGCTCTAGATAAAGCGATGGACGATTACAAAGTGGGTTTGATACAATGCATAACAGAGACTCATGAAAGAGTTCGAGAGTATAATGATCGCGTGAGAGAAAGCATGAAAACCGCGTATGACAAAAGGAACAAAGTAGACCAAGAGAGACTCCCAAAGTTAGGGGATAGAGTGTATTTACTATCACCCAGAGAGAAAGCGTTGAGTTCCCACCCCAAGTTGACAAGCGAGTGGGCTGGTCCCTTTCGTGTGATTGAAGCGGGAGATAACTCAGCAGTTATTACCCGAATAGGAGAAAATTCAGAGCCTATTAAAGTTCAGTACGATATGCTAAGAATAGTGCCGAAGCAAATATCTGATGAAAGGGTTGACACAACTACTAATAGAGGAAAAAGAGGCAGAAAGCCAAAAGTGAAGGTGAACAAATTAAACTGTTCTAATTTCAGAGGAGCGGTGATCGAGTCAAGTGAATGCAAAGGACATTTGCAATATAAGTGCAAGGACGGATGCCTGGAAGAAGCTTGTTTCGGAGACCTGAAGGACATCGTATTTCCAGGAGCGTTTGCGAAGGAACCGCTAGGCTCACTTTGGAGGGCATGGATCGCCGCTAGCATTTTCATCAGAAGCGACATGAACACGGCCGAGAAAATAAGGGCGTGGAAGAAAGGAATGGTCTGTCTTGATGCTGAAGCCCTGAAGAGAGTTCTGAGGCTTGCATATGACCGTTGTATGGACTGGACCGAATTTCTATATGTGACAGATGGAATATCGAAACATGACAGAATTGAGGATTACTGCTTCGACAGGACCTATGATGAAGCTTTGAAAAGTTTGAAACGCGATCTGGAGGAGCAAGAGAAAAATCAGCGTGCCAAAAAGGACGGACCGACAGCGTTCACGGCGCCAGAGAATGCGCTATTGCTGGAACGGGACGGCTCGCGTCGTGGAATTATTACAAGAGTGGCCACATCATTTGAAAAATTGAAGGACGTTCTTGATGAACTGAAAACATGCTCAACGTGGATAATCGTTTGGCCGATAGATACACACTTCACGGATGCGCAGATATGCGAAACGCTCCGTAGATGTCAACAGCAGCTCGAAGAAGGAGGACGCATAGTGTCCGTATGGCCTCCTTTGATGGAGTCAAATCAAGCTACGTGGAGACAGCTCACTGAATTGTGGCAGATGATTGATAATGCTCTACAGAGGGAAAGCAGGACCCAACCAGTTTTTGACCACGGCCAGCCACAGAATTGATGGTGGGAAAATATTCGTTGAGGCCGGAGCACCAGAAGGGTGCTTGAATTTCTATGGGAAAAATCTAGGCGTAGGAAGCGCCAAAGCATTGTACGATTGCATCAGGAACCGCGTGAAGGACGCAAAATTACCGCAGCTTGCTCCACTGGAAGTTGCGCCGACGAGGGCGCCGGCTCCCCGAGGGGGGAGGATGTGGAGATCAGGAGCCGATCGAATGATGAGAAGGTCACGGGATAGTGATCGCGAGGGGAAGTTTCCCGCCGGAGGTCAAGAGGACCAGAAGTTCCCTATAAAAGGCAGATGCATCTTCTGAAGTCGTCTTCCTCTGGTCTCCGGCGGTGCGGGCATCGGGCCCGCCAGAAGTCTTCTTCAGGAACCTCCACCTCCCCAACGACTACTCCAGCAGCCGCCGTTCGCCCTATTCAAGGACCCCCCTCAACTGGACGACTTCTACTCGTCTACCCCCCTTTATTCTCACACCATTCTGTTCATTTCTGTTCAGTTATTGTTTTGTTTCTAATAAACTCTGTTCTTCTCGGTGTTCGCTTCAGACACACGTGGAGATAATCGGGTCTCATACACTACATGGGGGCCAAGCCATTCCACACAAACGTCTGAAGTGAACGCTGCTCTCATCTCTATCTCGTCGT